TGTTGGTTGGTGTAGTCAGCTAAGCACTTTGTCTCAGTAATTTAAGGCACTCTTGGACATCAATCTAGGAAATATAATAACGTCTGTTGGTTTGAAAAAGGAAATTAATAGCAATTTTTTTTGCCAATAAATATGTAGTTTGGTTTGTGTGTGTGTGTGTGTTGGTGTAGTCAGCTAAGCACTTTGTCTCAGTAATTTAAGGCACTCTTGGACATCAATCTAGGAAATATAATAACGTCTGTTGGTTTGAAAAAGGAAATTAATAGCAATTTTTTTTGCCAATAAATATGTTAATAGTTTGGTTCTAAAATGGTGAGTTACTTACTTATAAAATAGGCTGACCGCCCCCTAGTGGACATTAATTATATTTTGTATCTACACTCTATTCAAAACCTATTTATGTAAATATTTCTATTCTATTTCTATTAAGGTAATTAGAAATATTTCTATAAAATAATATACCAGACTTCTAGAACTGTGCTCTGGTCGAACTTAGACATTTAAATTTATCTTGATGATTAACACAATGGCAAGAAAATTTTTCAAATGTTTTTTATTATTATTATATTTTTTTTTTTTTAAACCATCTTTTGAAAATGTTATATTTTCATACCAATTTCTGTAATTTTATAAAGATTGAATGTATTAGTTAACTAACAACATAAACCATCACATATTTCATAAAGTCCATTGCTACTTGATGTTTGTGTTGTTATTTTCCCAACAAAAATTATGCCACCTTTTAGAGGATGATGTTATTAAAAAAAAAAATAATAATAATAATAATAATCTGGCTTTTGTTAGGTAAAAAGATTATAAAAGAGTAATATAAGTTATTTAGAAAGGGCACGTGAACATTTTGATTAGAACAATTAAAATATGAATAAACCTCTGGAATCTTTTTTTAATAAATTAACACTTCAAAATTGAAGATGGTGATAACAGCAGGATGCTGTCTGTGTGAAATTAAAATTCTGTACCAAAATATTAAAGAACCAAAAAAAGAACAAAGAAAGCTTAAATAAAAAATAAAACATATTTTAAAACTATAAAACAAATGACAACATTCCAGACAAAACCCATTCATGCATTTAACCACCACTTAATATAATGGATGAGCAGATTTATTTCTGTAGCTGTGATTTCCATTGTTACTCAAATGTGTGTTTATCTCACCTCTCCCTGTTGGATTTCTCACAGAGAGGAGTGTGGCAACAGACTACCATCCGTCTGCTGAATCGGCAGAATAATAATGTAATGCAAAAGGTGCGACAGTCTATACAGTATGAGCTGCTCAGCACAAAACTTCTGCTTTGATTAAACTGTGTTGGACTGCAAACTAAAAAAAAAAAGCCAATATAAACAGAATCATCAAATCTAAAAAAGAAAGAAAATGCTCAGTGGTCAGACCAGACATATAGAGAAAGATTCAATAGAAAAGTGTTTTAAAATTCATATAAGACTTTTCTCTCCAAGCACCTCCAGTATTTCCTCAAGGCTCAAACACTAGAGTCTGTGTGAATATCTGAAGTATTATTTTTAGACTATCAGCTACATATTCTTCTAAAGCACCTGAGGCCAAGTTGACTAATAGAAGACTCATCAACTCGCCTCTCTATTTGCTTTAGACGGGAGGATCTGATATGCAGCTGGAGAAGAAAGTGCAGTTGCTTGTAGAAACTGCCGGAGTTAATGATGGCTACTTACAGCAGGGTGTCCATTTGTGATTAGACGCTATTCATCACACAGACAAGGGGAACACATTTGGTGTGATGTTGATAAATCAAATCAGCTCCTAATGATAACGCTTGAGGGGCCTTCCTCTTCATTTATAGGTGTGCTTATCATCTAGTTAATCTCACAGAAACCACTCTCCATCCCATAAATGACATTACTTTTAATCATACATGTTGCATACAAGCATCCCGCTCAAGGCAAGTGATTTGGACTCCCACATAATGTCATGCTAAGTTTCTTTAAAGCTGATCATGTTTAAATTAGGTCTCGGCTCTCATATTCTCCTGTAAAATACAAAATAAAATAAAAAAGGACTGATCATTTTCATAGTTGTAAATTATACAAATATATTATTGGAGTATGTTTTACAAGAAAATACTATTTCAGTTTCTCTATTTAAAAATGTCATGTTTCATTTAATGTGCCACTTGCCATTTCCTTCTAATTGTGCAAACTGTTTCTACACCACATTTTTTTCCTGTGTATTAGATTTTATACTTTTTACTACATTATAAAAAATGATTTTACAAAGTTGTAAATAAAACAATGATATTGGACTGTGTTTTATTAAATACTAATTCAGTTTTTCTACTTCAACATTTTACCTTTAACTTTATACTTGATGTTTCCTCGTAATGAATTTTGAAATTTATTAGCAATTTCTGAGTAAAAATTGTTTTCGACACCAACTTTTGAGTGTACTGTCTCTTTTTATAATTATATTTTCCTCATTTTTAATAGTGCTGAAATTGTATTGCCATATACCAAATTCAATCTATAATAATGCATTAAAAAACACTTTTTGCAACAAATCTAAAAATACTGTTGTCAATATTTCTGTCATTACTATGATGCCGATCATTAAAAAAAAAAAAATAAATCATGTTTTTTCCAAAAAAGTAATGGAAACAGAAACACAAGGCTTATTAAATATATATCTGTAGGAAAATTTAGATTTTTTAAGCCTTGTGCAGGAATCATCTTGCTCATTATCTATACTGAACAGACATTTAGAAGTTGATTTTAAAATGCAAAGTATTGAAAATAATAATAAAACTTTGCGTTTTTACAACACTTTAAGTGTGTCCCATCAGGTAATGAAAAGTTGTACACGCACTTGTGGTCTTCATGCTCACTTGAACACTTGGGCCAAATACAGAAAATACGTCATATAAGTAGTCAAGTGGTCAAGTGCAAAGACCACAGGTGTGTGTATTTGGACAAGGCAATGGTCGGTCCACGATTCATTGAAAACATTTCATCACAGCAGCGCGCTAGATGGCGTTGTTGTACCACGTGCGCTCACATCATGCGCGCCCGGTCCTTCCAGAATGCATTGCGGCTGCTAGTGCGGTTAGCCTGCGCTGACCTGTGAACATACGGCGTTTTACACACGGCGTCAGGTTTTCTTCAGTTTTATAGTTTGTCTTAAGCGATATGCCTCCGAAAAAGCCAGTTCAGGTTGCAGGCAATAAGAAAACCCAAGAGAAGAAAAAAGAGAAGATAATTGAGGTGAGATTTGCGGCGTTTTTGCACTCATGCAGCACGCTGAACTCTGGGCCTTGTGCTCTGATTCACTCACTAGCGCATTTTAGAAGCTCCTAATGACATATAAAGCCTAAAATGAATGGAATAACATGGATAAGCAGTCATAAATTTGTTTAATAGGGTTAGACTAAACTGTCAGACTGTTATTGGCAACGTAGTGGTGAATAAAGATGCAATGATGTGAAATGAGCCAAAGTCTACTGCTAGTATGCCACATTCAGGATGTGTCTTAAAACGTAGTGAGCTGTCCATCTAGACAGTATTTTTAGCTATCATAGGGGTCGTTTGATTTTAATGTGCTAAGATGGTTAACAGTTTGAGTGCTCATTAGGATTTGAGCCATAGTGATCTGGCAATTCTTTTTTTTTTTATGTTGCTTATGTGTTATAAGTCAGCCTTCTGAGTACCTGTGAACATTTGTGCTGTGTATGTATATTCATCATAATTTTTATAGAACAATTGGCTTGCTTGAAACAATATGGCTTTTAATAGTGGCCTTATTTTGTAAGCATCACATGCTGTTCTGATTATGTACTCTATTAGTTTTAGTATGGGCTGTTTTTAAAATAATTATGTCATTGCTACTGTGAATTTGAATTGTGTCTGGCAGGATAAAACATTTGGACTGAAAAATAAAAAGGGAGCTAAACAACAGAAGTTTATCAAAGCTGTGACACAGCAGGTCAAGCATGGACAGCAGAATTCACGGCAGGTAATGACTGTAATGCTGATTTTAGTTTTTTTTTTAAATCTTAAGTTTAAATTCCCAAACCAGTGCTCCAAAAGTCTGCATGCGTTTTGTTTTATTTGTAGATTGCTGCTGAAGCTGAAAAGAACAAAAAGAAGGATGACAAGAAGGAGTTGAACGAGCTCTTTAAGCCAGTGGTGGCAGCTCAGAAAGTCAGCAAAGGTAACTGGTCCATCAAATGACGAACAAAACTTTATTTGAAACTTTTCTCTGAATCTTGCACCTTAAAGGTCCCCTGAAATGCTTAGAAACACGCACCGTTACTCTGTGTTGACGTCATTTTAACTGAAACAGGAAGACAGGGCGGGACATATCAAGCAGCCCCGCCCCTTTTTAAAATAGCCAGTAGCGTTCGTTTATATCACAGCTTGGGCTAGAGCCGTTCAGAGCCGTTGAGCTCTGTAAAGCCGCATTTGACAGGGTATGCTAGCCACAATCTCATCCGTATTGCTATTAAAATATAGCATTCTGTGTAGAATTCAAATAGCTCCGATACATTTTGTGGTCTGCGCCGACTCGCGCATGTGATCCGCTCCGTGCTGTCGTGTCTCTGGACCGGAGCAGAGGGTGTGTGCGGTGCGGTGGTTAGCGTGACAGCGCGAAACCAGACTTATTTTTTTCCTCAATGGAAAGCATATTTACACTGTTTGAATCGTTCCCTGTCCCCTATATAGTGCACTACGTGCCATTCACTGTACAGAAAATACTAATTCTGTGGACAAGTGACCGATTTCAGCCGCGGCTTCAGCTTCTTTTATAGTGTAGGGGGCGGGCGCTTCGGATTCTAGAGAGCATTTGATTGGACAAAGTTTGATGAGAAGCTGAAGTACGATGTGATGTCAAAAAAATCTTTAAGCCGTTTTGGCGGAAGTGACGAACTGCAAAAAAACAAAGTTTAACGATTCAGTGTTTTTTCGAAACCAAAGTTTGCAAACAGCATCGCAACAGCTGACAGCTTTTGACCTGTGGTTAGAAGCATAGTTTCTTGTTAGTAATTCATGTAGACCATGCTCTTGAAGCTAGCATGCAGTACAATCTATACCTTTCTAGTTTGTCAAGAGAATAACAGCACAGCTTTTGAAGAGTGCGCATGTGTACCCAGGGGAACACCGGAGTATGATGTAAGAGGGAATCAGTGATTAAATCAAACACCTGTAAATAAAGCAAAACAACGGAGAAAAAAAAATAGCGAGGTAGTTCTTGGATGTCATGTTTATCTACAGCAATAATCTGACATTAATTTGATCTCAAACCAATTAATTAGCAGAAGTTATTACTCCATCACCTCCAGATCTATATTGTTGAACCACCGCTAGTTAAGCAGCGAATTACGGGATTATTGTATGGGAAACGCACCTAAGTGCAACTGTATATTTTATGGCCTACTGTATGTGTAACTTTTGTCCTAGCTTGTTTTCTGTAGTTCTGTGATGAGTAAGACTGTTCTGCTTTGGAATGATCAATACCCATCTGTATGTTTTGCTCTTCTGTTCCATTCTTTGATCATCTTCGTGATTTTTCTTCTGTTTCATTTCAGGTGTTGATCCCAAGTCTGTGCTGTGTGCTTTCTTTAAACAAGGCCAGTGTACCAAAGGTGATAAGTGTAAATTCTCTCATGACCTCTCCTTAGAGAGGAAATGTGAGAAAAGAAGTGTGTATGTGGATGGCAGAGATGAAGATCTGGAGAAAGGTGAATCATACATATTTAGCATGATATTATGTACATTAAAAAATGTTAAAACATAATTTATTACGTAATGGCAAGGTTTCCATTGGATTTTGGAATTTACATTATTGGAACTATTGCTTCTGTTTTTGGTTGTTGGAATTAATGTCAAAGATTTTTTAAATTATTTTAATTTGTTTGATTTGTGTAATTGCAGACACCATGGAAAATTGGGATGAAAAGAAACTTGAGGAGGTGGTGAACAAGAAACATGGAGAGGCTGAAAAGAAGAAAGCAAAGACCCAAATTGTAGGTTCTGGCAGTTTACACTCAAATTAACTATTTGTATTATTTGTAATCATAGAAGTTAACAAATAATCTTTATTTTAAGGTGTGCAAGTATTTCCTTGATGCTATTGAAAACAACAAATACGGCTGGTTTTGGGTTTGTCCTGGTGGAAGTGACAACTGTATGTACCGTCACGCTCTTCCTGTGGGCTTCGTTCTGAAGAAAGACAAAAAGAAAGAAGAGAAGAATGAGGAGGAAATCTCGCTGGATGATTTGATTGAGACTGAGGTGAGAAGGGTGTTGCAGAACATGATTTTGAAGTAACACTGTCATTAGTTATCTATCAGAATTGTTGTAATGATCATCTGTTCATTATTGTAGCGGTCTGCTCTGGGAGCAAACGTCACCCGAATTACTCTGGAAACATTCTTGGCATGGAAGAAAAGCAAAAGGCAAGAGAAACTGGCTAAAGCAGAGCAGGACATGGAGAGAAAGAAAGCTGACTTCAAAGCTGGCAGAGCTCTTGGGGTGAGTAAAAATCATGACACTGATATTCCTGCTTGCCTAAACAATTAAAGTATAAAAAAAATATGTTGTAGTCTTGAAAAAGGAGGACTTACTCTGAAAATGTATTGTGCATTAAAAATCTTTTTTTGCTCTGAATGAAATGGGTATTTTGACGGTGATGCTGTGGTTTGACCAGAGGGTGGCAGTAAAGCTTGTGCTCTCATATCCTCTGGTTGCTGTTGTTTTACTGTGTCCTGGTTCTTCAAGACTCTTTCATGCTGTCATCTGTTGTTAAATGACACTCATCTCATGGTTTCATGTCCTCCAGGTCAGTGGAAGGGAAGTGTTTGAGTTCAGACCTGAGCTTGTTAACGATGATGATGAGGAGGCTGATGATTCTAAATATTCTGAAGATGATGACACTGAGGTTTCTAACGAGGTGAGAAAAAAAATATATTTAATTTTTTAACAGAATGCAACACCACCCCATATAAGCTATATAACAATTTTAGATAAAAACA